ATTGACACTTTGAATTTAAAAAAGAGAGGCCCAATCAAGCTAGCTGACTAAAGGGGTGTGTGTGTGTGTGTGTGTGTGTGTGTGTGTGTGTGTGTGTGTGATGATGATAAAATAGTATATGGCAATGAAAATGAGTCACACAGCACAGTTGAATCTCTGAAATATAGGTTGAACAAAAGATGGCAAACACAAAACAATTCATGATTCCATTTATATGAATTTCAAAAACAGGCAAAGCTAAGCCATGTTGTTAGAAATCAGGATAAAGGTTACCTTTGGAATGGAGATAGGGAGCATAGAAGGGACTTCTGTGGTGCTAGTACCATTCTATCACTTGACCTGGGTGGTGGTTACATGAGTGTGTTCACTTTATAATAATTCATTGAGCTCATGATTTGTGCCCTTTTACGTAAATGTGTTATAGTTAAATAAAAAAGGTTAAAAACATTCAAGTTCTATACTGTGGACTCCTGATTCCAAGTGTAAGAAAAGTATTTCTGGAGAGGGAGAACCCTGTAGGTTTGAGCAGGAGGGACAAGAGCTGGGCTCTGGAGACTAGGTGGGTGGAGAAGACACATGGGGACACAGGCCATTTGGGGGCAGAGTGAAAATAGTGGTTAGACTGAAGTAAAAGATGTGTATGAGAGTATGTAAGGTGGGAGCCGAGGCTGGGAGGTAATTCTGGGAGAGATTAGGCGTGGGGCTCTTGGGTGTCAGGCTGAGCTGCTTGGGTTTTTTTTCTTTTGGATGGTGGAAGGTCACTGAAGATTTGGTATATTGATAGAAATACTTTAGGATATTGAAGAGGGTAATACTCGGTAGTATGGAGTAAACACAATTGTCATGATGGGACTGGAGATGGGGGCAGATAAAGGACTGTGCATGGTGAGGCTCTCTAAGATATTCCCCGTGGTGTTAATGTTGGCTGGTGTTCTGACTTCAGTTCTTGCTAGTGTAGACAGTTGGAGTCTGCAACTTTTCCTAAGTGGGTCTCAGGGGCTTCAGGCTCAGGCATAGTATTCAGGGACCACTTTGTAGATTTTGCCCCTGAGGACTCCCCATGATTGGATCCTTTCCTAAAAGTGTATGCTCTCACCCGCCCTGCCTTGCCCCACCCTGCCCCAGTGGAAGCCAAAGCATGGGATCCAAACGTAAAACCCTTCCACAGTATTGCTCCTTTCAGCCCTGAGAGTGCAGTTGGTTTGTGGCAGAAGTCTCAGCGTTACAGCGCCCAAGCCCGGGCTGCCGTGTGGGCAGGACATGCTGGAGGTGGCTAGTCGGCCTCATCTAGGCTAATGTGAGTATTGTTGAGTCTCTGTGAGCGTTGCTCTGGG